GACTGGCCTTTTTTTACTTGCGATCGCCGGTGACAAACCCCCCAAACCCTATATAGACTGACCTTTTTTACTTGCGATCGCCGACTCTGCATCTTACAGTCTGTGGCATGCTTTACTTGCGAGAGATACATGTTCTTTTCCTCGACACATGAGCTGCTCGAGACCTCTTCACATGTTTTCCTGTGAGATGGTCTTTGTTTTACAGAGTGTCTACATTTTACTTCAAGATTCAGAGTACTTGTGATTTACACAGAATGTTTATTTTACTGAGAGGGTTTCCGATTGCTTCTGCAAGATCCTGTGCATGTATATGCAGCATTTGCTGGTCGCGAGATAGTTCTTTCATGTGGCCTCTCGTATTTCCAGGATTCAGAGGGTTGCAGATTGTTTTGAATTTTGGACGTGTGAGTTTGCATCGTTCTCTAGATATCTACCGGCTCGCCCATATTTGCACCAATGGCGCACGACGGCGAGCACAGGGTTTACTGTAAGAACATTGTCAATGAAGCGACCAAGAAGGCAAGGCCATTGATGAAAACAAAATCGTGTCGTTTTTCTTGTGCTTCCTCTGTGTCAGGACATCAGAGACGAGCTCGAAGCGATCGGGGTCACGAACCTTTTGGACATCAAGATTGTGAGGACGTGTGCTTATGGCAAAAGGGTTGAAGCTCAAAGCTTACTATATGTAAGCCAATGTATAAGGGCTTTTAAATACCAACACATAGGTTGGCTTTTTCTTTTGTGGGACTTCAGACACAGGAAGCCTCATGGATCCAGTGGCCCTGAGCAGACCCACTGCAGTGTGTTCTTGTCATTCCCCACAGAAACTTGGAGGTTTTTGTTTTATGATTTCCTTGTGTTTCTGTTTTCGCACAAGCCCACATGTAAAACATTTGTACCCAAAGCTGAACATCCCTTTCTTTCGATGCTGATAAGGAAGCTGCTGCAGAGCATGCGAGGGAGTCCTTGAACGGACGGTGGAGTCCCAAGCTTTGCTTGG